TCATTATGTGGATATGTACATGTAAGTTCATATAATTCAGTACATAACGAGAGAGAGAGAGAGAGAGGGAGGGAGGGAGAGGGAGGGAGGGAGGGAGGGAGGAAGGGAGGGAGGAAGGGAGGGAGGGAGGGAGGGAGAGAGAGAGAGAGAGAGAGAGAGAGAGAGATTGAAAAACCCCACAGGGGTAAGGACAGACAGGGTCCCCACCCCTGTGGGACCCAATCCATCCCACACCCCACTCTTCCATGTTAGTTGTTTTAAAATTTAATTCTTATGTAGTAATAAATTGTAAACCTCAGATGCATAATGTATGTGACTAAGACATGTGTGATGTATTCACTACACATTGACATTCAGACCATTGGGTTGCATTGTGCCTAGTTTGTTCATCCAATACTTTTCTATTTTGTCCAGGGCTTCTAAGCTTTCACTGTTCTGAGATACCTTGTCTATTATTTGCACCTTAAGATGTTCGATGTTATGACCATCAAGGTTAAAATGTTTACTGATGTATCTTGGCTGGTCCATCTGAATGCTCGAAATGTGTTAATTGATACGCTCCCGGAGAGACTTCACTGTTAGGCCAACATATTGTTTCCTGCATCTGGTACATGTTATGACGTATACTATACCACTGGAGTTGCAGGTAAAGGGATGTCTTACTTTGAAGCACTATGGGATCTCCTTATAACTGGGGATGGTAGAAAATGTTGACATGTGGCGCACCTTGGGTGTTTGCAGGGGTGTGGTTCTGTTATTGTGACTGGTGCTGGAGTTGTTACATTGTGTCCGTCGAGATCTATTTCCATTCTGGTTTGCTCTAGTATCCTACTTATGTCCTCTCTAGTTGGCCTGTGGTTGCTTTGGACTATAGAATCTCCCAGATTTCTACTCTTTAGCATGATGAACAAGGGGTTCGCCACATATCTGTTTAGATTAAAAGTATGGAAGTTGTCTAGTATGATCTTCAGTAAGTGATATTTTGGGGGAGGTACACATTTCAGGATTGGTCTTCTTATTGGCTGGAGTGATGGTTGAGTTACTTTCTGAATATACAGCGATCTTTTGCAATATTGTACTTTCTCCAGAGCCTTTCTAACAAATTGGGCTGGATATTCCCTGTTTAGCAAGCGTTGTGAGAATATCTTCACTTGTTTTATGTAATCATCTGTTGATGAGTTGGTTCATACATATCTTGTGGCCTCTTCTATAATTATACCTCTGAAGACAGACTTTGGATGGCTTGATGAGAAATGGAGATATTGGTGTAAATTGTTCTCCTTTTGAAATGTAGAAACTTTTAGTTTTTCGGTGTCTTCTCCTTTATAGACTGTGATGTCTAAGAATTCAACAGCACTATCCGATTGTGTGAAGGTGAACTTGATGTTTGGGTGGTAGCTGTTAATATCGTCAACAAATTTGTTTAAATCATGATGTTTCTGCCAGATCATAAAGATGTCATCAATGTAGCGTTTTATAAGAAGTGGTTTATCGGATCTTTTTGAAAGAAAGCTCTTCAGAAGAACTGACATGTATATATTTACAATTGAGGGCAAAAAGGCTGCCCCCATGGCTGTTCCTTCTATTTGTTGGAAAGGTATATCCGCAAAGGTAAAAAAATTGTTATTCATATTCACTTGTAAAAGTTGGGTGATTAAGTTAGGATCAAAAATGATAAGATCTGAGAATTTACACATTTCGCTGTGTATTACTTTGAGACATTCTTGTTGAGGAATGGAAAGATATAAACTGACTACGTCCATTGTTATCAGAGTTACTTCTTCTCTAATTTCTATATTCTCCAAAATCTGTATTAATTGCGTCGAATTCTTTATGTAATCAGTATAAGACTGGGCCAAAGGCTGTAATACGTGGTCTACGAAATGAGCTGTTCGTGACAGTAATGAGTCTACGTGGGAGATGATTGGTCTCATAGGTGGAATGCCTTCTTCATTTAAAGGTTTATAAATTTTGGGGAGACCATAAAATTTAGGTGTTGTATGCTTGTGTGGTGGCTGGAGGTATTGGTACAAGCGTCGATGTGGTGCAAGCTGGTTCCTAAAATTGACTAGAACATTTTCTACACTTCTTTTTATATTACTATTTGGAAACTCCGCTACTCTGATGTAAGTCTTGGAGGATAGATGGATTAGGCATTGAGTAACATAATCTTGTGAATTGAGGATCACAATTCCTATGTTCTTGTCTGCTGGTTTGATTGTGATGGCTGGGGACAAGAGACTTCTTAGTGCTTTGTCTTCCTTTCCAGATACATTATGTTTCTTCAATGATGATGCTTGTTTCATTTGAAGATCAAGTGCTACTTTTGTGCCCTCAATGAAGTCTTCTACTGCTCTGTTGCTTGTTATAAGATATGGGTTTTGATCTTTATTGGAGTCATTCTTCAGAAACTTCATTCGTCTGTACAGAAATGCTGTGTTAGTGTCTGAATCATCAACTGCTGTTGTGTAGTTTGATACTGCTGAGGTCTGAGGCAGATTGTTTCCTCTTAGCAGCTCCCAAATGTCTGGAGACACTTCTGCTAGTGGTTGCGGATGTTTCTTCCAGTTTAGACGGTTGGGGTGGAGTGATTTCTTGCCTGGGAGTACATGCCAGTAGCTCAGCTTTATCTCTAAAGTAATTGTGTTTACTTGTATTACTGTCGTTAAGTGCTCCATGAACAGCTTCTTACAATCACTTAAGAAGGATCTGTTGATTGCACTCTTGCTCGTATGGTCTATGATGGCTTGGTTTCGTGGCAAGTACTCTGGGGGTATTGTTTCAAATTGAGTCATCTTTTTCTGTTCAGATATGATTTTCTCTAAGTTCCTAATGCTCTCTCTTAGTATTGCCCTTTTGTCTGTTGATAAAGATGAGCACTAGTGGATAACTAAATGATTATTTTGTTTCTTCACTTTTTTTACACATATGTATATGTACCTGTATGTTTCCATATTCAATGCAAGAGTTTCTGATTTTACATGTGCTACATTGTAGTATGTGTAAGGCCATTCTTTGTATTGTTTGAGCTACATGTACATGCATTTATTAGCTATTGATTTACTATTAAGTACCAGGTTTCTTTAATAATTACCATTTCTAATGTTTAGTCTGTATATGCGTGTGTCTCTAAATCTATACTGATATGTTCTGTATGATATGGTAGACAACAGATAAATGTTATTATGTTGAGGCTGTACTACTGTCA